TGCCAGTGCAGCTTCGGGAACTCGCTGGGCTGTAGGAGGGGAGCAAACATGGGCAAGTAGGGCTGAGACGACTAGGAAATCAGTAGGAACGTGGGCGGCAAAGGTAGGAGAGATAAGCACATGCTGCGGATGAATGGAGCAGGAAGACGCAGGCAGAAAGTGCCATGCTGAGTTATAGCTCATAGACATCATGCAGCACAAACTGACTCACCACTCAGGGCCTTGTGACAGATGTTGCATATGAAGATGCGCTCTGCAGCACCGTTGCTAACCAGCATAGTGCGGTTGGGCAGATCCGGCTCTAGACGCATGCAGTACGGCACCTCAACACTAGCAGGGTTGTCCAGGCAGACTCTGGGCAGCACCCGCGGGGGGCGCGGCTGTTGGTCCGGTGGAAGTTGCTCGGACGGCTGCTGCTCAGCCGCTGCTGACTCTGAATCGCCGGTCTCCTGAGCATCACCATCCAGATCCAATGCTCCTTCCGCCGCATCATCCACCAGCCTGCCTGCCCCACTGGCACTGCCACCGTCATCATCCACAGCACCAGCCCACTCAGCCCGGCTGACACGATACCGAGCAGGCAGGACCGGATCAGGCGGCGGTGGTGCATCTCCTTGAGCTGTACGTGCCATCCACCGCCACACCAGAGTATGCCCCCAGTGCTGCACAGCGTCCGTACACATGGTGTCTGCACGTAGAATGTCAACATTGGGGATCTCCATCCAGGGCAACACCGCCGACTGGTCCTCTGAGCACACTTCCGAGCATACAGCACAGACACGGGAGGGCATGCGCCGGCGCAAGGCAACAGCCATGGTCGATGCACACTGCAGCTGTACTGTGTATGGTACCTGCCTGTCAGGCGGCAACTGGCCGCCAGGAAGGTCTTGCACGCAGCCCTCTGGAAGCGCCAAAAGAAAGTCGGGCAAGTCAATGGCTTCATCCTGATGAAGGTCCGTGAACTACAGGAGACGATGCATGCGAGCCAAGAGTGTATCCCTAGGGGCGGCCTGCTGGTTATGCTGCTGCACCTGCCGTGCAGCCGCATGCTGTGCGGTATTCCGCTGCTGCTGAAGCACCCTTACCTCTGGGTCAGCACGTGCAGCTGCATGCTGTGCAGCGTCACGCAGCTGCTGCTGCGCCCTCACCTCCGGGTCAGCACGTGCAGCGGCATGCTGTGCAGCATTACACAGCTGCTGCTGCACCCTCACCTCCGGGTCAGCATGTGCAGCGGCATGCTGTGCAGCGTCATGCAGCTGCTGCTGCACCCTCACCTCCAGGTCAGCATGTGCAGCGGCATGCTGTGCAGCATCACGCAGCTGCTGCTGGGCCCTCACCTCCGGATCAGCACGTGCAGCGGCATGCTGTGCTGTGTTACGCAGCTGTTCCTGCACCCTCACCTCCGGGTCGGCTTGGGCAGCCGCACGCCATGCAGTGTTACACACCTGCTGCTGTGCCCTCACCTCAGGATTGGCACGTGCAGCCGCGCGCTGCACGGTGTCATGCAGCAGCTGCTGTGCCCTCACCTCCGGGTCAGCACATGCAGCCGTGTGCCGTGCAGCGTCCTGCTGCCGCTGCAGCAGCCATAACTCAGGAAGGGCTGCTGTGCAGCTTTCTGACGCCGCCATCTCTCCCATACTTCTGCAGCAGAAGGGTCAGCATCCTGGTGCTGCCCCTCCAGCTGTGTATCTGCAGCAGCTGCCGTTTGCTGGCGGCCGTCCTCTGCGGGCCTCGCTGGATTTATTCGTACGGCCGGCTGCTGTGCTGCGACATGCTGCTGCTGCTCAGGTGCATGATTCGCACTCAAATCAGCGAACGGACGTATTCTTCCACCACGGAAACCGTCCGCAAGCGAGCCAAGCCGAAGCCGTTTCGAAACAGGCAACTGATCCGACATTAAGGCGGACCCGACGAAGCGAACACGTATACTAATTCAACCGTCAAGGATATGGGCTCGTAAACGGCGGAAAACGCGAAAGAAGCGTAAATGGCGGAAAACCGTGAAGGATATGGGCTCGTAAACGGCGGAAAACGCGAAAGAAGCGTGAACGGCGGAAAACGCGAAAGAAGAAGGAGCAAAAAGCTGGAAAGTATTTAGGCAGAGTGACAAGGGGAATTGCGAGAAGCGTGAAACCTTACAATCGAAGGATGGCGCTGTATGAAACGCGTACGGCATTCATTCCGACGCGGAATCGAAGCACGCGTCGAAGTGCGCATCGAATTGTGCGCTAAAGCGCGCGGCGAATTGCAGGCTGAATTGCGCGCCGAATTACGCATTTAGAGATGTGCGAATCGCGCGCTTCGGCATATGTGCGCAACTGCGTGCTTCGGCCAAGCAGTTGAATTGCACGCAACGTCCATAGTCGAATTGCACAGAAAAGCTGGTGGGATTAGGAGCACAAAACAGAATTCGACCCTCGGCGCGATAATTCACTTCGCGCCTGTTACAGGGTGGTTAACTTTGCCAGCGGCCCCTTTCCCGGGCAATCCCTGCTCTCCCCTGCTAGAGGGGCACCCTAATCCGTCACCCCATCCGACTTCAGAATGTATTCGTTGGGTTCGGCAACTCACCACCAGCATCCAACCAAATCTAGCGGATCAACGGCGCATGAATTTAGTTCCTGGTCAGCTCGCAAGTTGATGTTATCACGTCCTACATCGTCCATATGATGGGGGGCCACCTCCCATTTCTACACTCCTCAAACACCCGAGGAGCCGGCAGGCGGAATTGAACCCGGGTCGGCCGGGAGCAGAAGTCAGGCCTTAACCTCTGCCAGCCGCCTGCCGTAAATATTTATATACATACATACACACACACACACACAGGCTGAGCTTCCGAAGTTGCTCGTTGCTTTGGAGTCGTACAGCGGTTGGTGTCCGTTGTTCAGTGAGCTGTATCTGTTTTTTTATTTTTCTCGCGATCTCCCCACCACACATACATACATACATGCATATGTATACATACATATATACATATGTACATATATGCGCACCTACATATACATCTCTTCCCCCGGCCCCATAGTTATACACATACACACACAACGCGCATGCGTGCTGGTTGTTCCCGGCAGGTATTTTGTTTTCATTGCTACATTGCCGTACAGTGGTGGAGCAGCACTCCCAGGAGCTACGAGACAGTCTGAGGTGAGAAAGTTTGTGTGTATGTATATGTATGTGCACCCGCGCTGCTGCCGCTGTTGCTGCGATTGCTGTTGCGGCACCTGAGGGGGGTCGGGGGGGGGGCGGTCGCATTGCCGTCTCCATTCCCTCCGCAAGCCCCCTCCCCCTCTTTCCCCCCCAACCCCCCCACCCGCCCGCCGTGTGTTTAGGTATGTGGCGTCTCACGAGACGGACTGCCCGGGTTGCCTGCCCGGTACGACAGGGGGCCACTACCCGACACGTATGGCCGCGGCTCCCCCCGACCCCGCCGAGGCCTTGTCGTCCAAGAGCTCGTCCAAGGCGCTCGTACACTGGTGTCACGGCGCTCCAGGGGCGGTTTTTATGTGGTGTAAGGCGTNCCAGGTACATTCCATGGCGGGTGGGGGTGGGGGTGGGGTGGGGGGCCCCCGGGGTTTGGTTGGGTTTGGGGGTGGGTTTGGGCCCTTGGGCGGGGGCGCTGTATGTGTCACTGAATGTACCTATGTATGTATATGTGTATGTATCTATGTATGTATGTATGTATGTATGTATGTCCAGGTGTTCGGCGACCCGGAGTACCTGGGAGCCGCTCTCCGCGCGGGGGAGGTGGTCTGGCAGCTGGGATTGCTCAAGAAGGGGCACGGACTGTGTCACGGGACCAGGTGGGGCAGGGGGGGAGCGGTGGTGTGCTTTCCTGTGTATGCGTTCGTACGTGTGTATGTGAGTATGTATGCATGTACGTATGTCGTGTAAGGGGAAGAAGAGAAGGTTTTAGGTTTTCATGCGGTTTCGGTACGGCAGTGGAAGGACACGGGGGAGCTGGGGGAGCAGAGGATCTGCAAACCCAGCAGGCCGACATCCCATTTTCCTTCAACCTTTTTCCTCCCCGCTTACTGAACTAAATTAACGAACAAACTGGCTAACTGATTAACTGACTGGTTTCATCTAACTCTACTTCCGTAACCCCTCCCCTTAGTGGTAACGCCTACGCGCTCCTGGCCCTCCATCGCGCCGCGGGCGGGAGCCCCCTCTGGCTGCACCGGGCGAGGATGTTCGCGGCGCACATGGGAAGCGCAGAGGGGCGAGCGGTGTACGACACGCCCGACAGGTATTGCCGTACAATCTGGCGTGCGTGGATAGTCGGTGTATACCGTTATGCGTACCATTGGTTCCATTTAAATTCAACGGCGTTCTCGCGTATGTTGCTACTGTGTTGCTTCTGCCAGAGCACAAAATGAATAAATCATCAGAACAAGCTCAAACAGCTCACCACCATAGAGGATGCCAAAACCCTAAGCCCTCAACATTTCCCCATTCCCCCGACCGGCACCGCACGTCCGCCACCACGGCGTGTACGGCATAATACCCACAGGCCCCTGTCGCTGTACGAAGGGCGGGCGGGGGCCTTATGTCTGCTGGCGGATCTGCTGGCTGATGACGGAGGCTCAGCGGGCGCCAGGTTCCCGGCATTTGAACTGCCCTAGTTAGTGGGGGAGGGGGGAAGGGGGCTCGACGGAGGGTGCCAGACGGAAGGGTAGAAGTTTTGGAGTCACACGACGGTGCAGTATGTGTGTATTGTGTGCCGTCTGTGCGTCGCTGCATAAACATCCCCCTGTCGGCGCGAAAACCGAAATCATACCTTCCAACCAAAGCAACCACCCTAGGCGTCTACAAGCGGATAGGAAGTTGAAGTAGCATTGTAAACAGGTAATAAATGCGCTGTGATTGTTAGTTACTTGGTAGATTTCCGATCTGGGGATGTATGTCCCCGTACATCTTTGTCTGTGTCGTGACGAGGTTGAGATTATCCTTGCGCGGGGTGGTGGTGGTTGAGCGCGGGGTGGTGGTGGTTGAGCGCGGGGTGGTGGTTGAGTGAAGAGCCAACAGAGGGGTATAACCTGTGTTTGTGGGGTTTCCTTGGGTGGATGGGTAGGCGAGTGTATGTGTATATGTGTACGTATGTCTATGTGCTCTATCCACTTTCAAGAGGTGGAGGATCAGTCGATGCCGGTATGCAACGGCCCGGTGTCGTATTCGACGTGTTCATCCATAAGCAACCGGCCACAGGTCCGTGGTGGGTTACTCGCTCCTCCTCACACACACGTACAGACATACATTACGGCGAGAGTGGCAGACAATTCCCTGTTAAGTAAGCGAGCACCAATATGCTGTCGGCACCACCAGCAGAGCGGCGATGAGAGCAGCCCTTACTTCCCCCCCACACCACCGCAAGGTCGCCCTCGTCAAAGCCCGACACAGGACCAGCTCCGGAACCTCCGCCTTAGCGTGTCGGGTTTTCTTCGTCGGGCCGTCCACACTCACACAGGCGCCTCGTACACACTCACACACACAAGGGGCAGCATCTCCCCACCCACCCTTTGACCATTCAGCACCCTCCCCCCCCAAGAAGTAGCCCCCGGTCCCAACAGATTTCAAACGCAAGATCACGTCGGAGCTCACATCGGTAGAGAGAGAGAAAAAAAAGTGGCAACGTCCCTAATACCGGCCGTAATATCGTGGTACCACACAGAACGTGCAAGAGCGAGGCCTTGTGTTTTGCATCGGGCCCGGAAGCGACGCGGTCAGTGCAGGGCTCCGAAACCGCATTGTTTCACACATTGCGCACGTGCCTGCGATGCATGTGCCACACGACACTGCTCTAGATCTAAACACAGATCGTGTGGGAACGCGTGAGTATGTGTATGTATGTATGTACATGCGCCGATACGGCACATGTCTGTCTGAAGGGGGGTGTATGTGAGAAGCAGCTCAAACCCCCCTGGAACCCATGCGGCCTCTGCGGTGCCTGGTGGACGCATCAGCAGCAGCATAGAAATCTAGTCGTCGTCCGGAATGTGCAGGTTACGGAGTCCGGTATTGCTACCCAGGCACCGACATACATACTTACAGCGCTGCCACACGCTCCTGCACACACCTTCCATACACACACACATGCCCCCGAGAGCCCTCCCGAGTTCACGGGGGGGAAACCGAATCCGAGCCAGCCGGCGCCTCTTTCGGCTACGACACCTCCTATGAGTGGGATCTTTCGCACACACACACACACACACATACACACACACAACCTCTGGACATTCCGCTGTCTGCGAGGCCCTCAATACGCAGACAGTGCAGTGCGGTACAGTGCAGAGATAAGGGAAGATAAGAGAGAGAGAGAGAGAGAGAGAAGAGGGAGAGAGAAAAGAGAGAGAAAGCACGCGTCATCGACGAATATCGTACGGCGTCACTCAACACACTAACAACAACCATCTCGAGGCCCGAATTATGCACTGTACTGTACGGCAGTACAACACGGCTAAAATGGTACATTTATCCCAAGACATACATACAGACGGGCAGAGACAGCTATAGCCGCGAACCTCACCCTGCTTGTCACCCTACTCACCTTCACCTCCAAACCGCCCGACCCGGCCTCACTATGGCACCCAGCACAGCGGCGGTACTGCCGGTGTTGTGCAGGACGGCACACACGCACACACGCACACACGCACATACAGACGCACACACGCACAAGGACATGGCACATCACGCCCCAACAACACAGCCCAACTACCAACTACCAACTACCTACCCCCGTGAAGAGGGAATGGCAGCGCGGACGGTTTCAAGCCCCAATCGACTCTCAGCAATCCGCAACACAGTCTCCTGTGTCGACAGCCATCGTCTCTTGTATGTGTGTATGTGTGTACAACTCCTTCCCCTCCTCAGCACTACCACCACCACTACCAGCGCCACAAGTGTATTGGCCGGTCAGGATGCTCCCCTCGCCCCCCTAACCGTTAATCACCCCCACGGGTCGCATGTCTACATATGTGTACGGCATAAACTGCCGTACAGCCGTACAGCTCTTCTTCTTACCCTCCAAAGCCTCAGTTCATTCGAGGCCCTGCGGGTCCACTCGCCATTCGGCCGCGATTCGCCGCCGCCGCCGCCGCCGCCGCTGCTGCTGCCGCCGCCGCCGCCAGCGGAGGGGGCGACATTGGACGGTACGGCGGGCGGGCGGCACTGTATGGGCCGCTGGCATACCCGGAGCCGACATAGGGCATCGCCACCGGCGCAGGGTACGGCGCATTGGGCGCAAGGCCCCGCTGTACGTTGTACGAATACCTGGTCCCGTACTGCTGCGCTGACGGCGCCGGATAATACTGCGAATGCTGCAAATAACCGCCCGGCGGCGGCACCGGCGCTGGCGGCGGTGCCCACGTGACATCGTACGGCGCGTTCCCCCTGCCGTAGAAGGTGCTGTACTCCGGCGAAACGGGCCGCTGCCCCAACCCTTCCCCGTAATCTGGCGTTTGTGTATGAAGTTGCGGCGGCCTGTACGGCTGCACACACGCGGGCGTGCCTCCGACTCGAGGTGCCTCCGACAGTAGTTCGAGGGGGCCGCCGCCACCGCCGCAGCCGCAGCCGCCGGCTGCGGTTCTTAGGAGGCGAGCGCTGGGCATAGGCAATGGGCCACCAGGCGCGGCAGCGGCGGGGGGGGCCGTCCATGACGTCGCCGCCGCGGCGGCGGCCTCGACCCGGACCGCTGGCCCCAGGTTGACGCAACCGCTCGCAACCGCGGGGCCGGCGACGACGCGCGCTCTGACATCCCCGGCGCCCGTTGTCGCTGACGTAACGGCCACAGCGGCGGCGGCGGCGGCTGCAGCGGCGCCGCTGGCATTGGCTCGGGACTTGTCCCTACCGCCACCCGCGCTTCCTTTCCGGGAGCCGCGTCCGCGACCGGCAGACCCACCCGCTCCGCCTCCAGCAGTAGAAACAGCGGCGACAGCAACAGCGGCAGCGGCGGCGGCGGCCGCTGCTTCTGAGGGTGAAGCGACTGAATCCCCTGTCGCCGTCGCCGCCGCCTTCGCCTTGCGAACGCGGCGCTTCTGCGCCTCGGCAGGAGCGCTGCCTCGACCAGTCAATACCGGCACAGCCGCTGCCGCCGCAGCAGCTGTCGCCAGTGCCTCCTCCTCCTCCTCCTCCATGCCGCTCTCCGCCTCTACACCGCCTCCCACAGCCTCCACAAGCTCAGGCTGCTGCAGTGTGGTGGCCCGCCGTCGCTTGTGAGATTCGACCGCCGCCGCGGCTTCCGCCACCGCCGCTACACCCACGCCAATAATCCCCGTAGTCGCTGCCTCCGCCGCCGCCGCCGCCGTCGCTGTAGCCGCCGCCGCGACGCTGACCAGCGGCCGCGAATCCTGCGTCATCAAGTACCGCACCACCTCGTTCGGCGCCTTTGAAGCTATGCGCAGCTGTACCGGCGCCGTACTTCCGTACTGATCATACAATACTTCTTGCCGTACAATTGCCGCAAAAAACGCCGGACGTTCTACATTAAATGGCGGCGGCGGCGGCACGTAGATGGCCTCATAATCTTCTTGACGCGGCTGTTGTAGTTGTTGCGGGCGCTGCCAGCTTGACATCCCGCGCTGCTGCTGCCATTGTTGGTACGGCGGCGGCTGGCCGTACGACGACTGTGGTCGCTGTAGTTGGTTGGCGGTGCCGTGCATTCTGATGAACTCCGCCGCCTCCGGCTTGCTGTTGAAGGCCCGGAGTACCAGAGGCCTGTTGGGGCCCCCGTGGTGCGGGTTAGTGTAGTATTGGGGGCGGGGGGGTGGCGCCACAGGGCCGCCATTGTGCTGCAGGGACGGCACGCCACCCACCGGTGGCCGCCGCTCTCGGGGAGGAGGAGCAGTGTATTTTTTTTCCGTAATATATTACGGTTCCGTAATAAAATGGCATATTTGCGTTCTGCGCTCCGTCATAGACCATGGTAAAGGCCTGGTACGGTCGTTACGGAGCCGGGGCGGGCCCCAGAAGACGTCTCTGGGGGCCGAAGGCCCCCAGAGACGTTGTATATTAGTATAAATAAGTTATAAATGAGCGATGGGGCCCAAGAAATTAACTACTATAGCTGGTCAGGGTAGCGTCAAAGCATTCCTGACCACCGGCAGGCCAAAACCCAGTAGCGGAGATGCTGGTAACACTTCAAACTATATAGCGAGTACAAGAGAGACATTAGAACCAGATATGTGCTGGTGTATCAGGTACCCTGTGTGGGCAGGGGGGGTCTGGGGGGGCTTGCCCCCCCAGAAAAGAATTCTGGCAGTAATAAACGTATTGGACTGATGGCATATTTATTACGGAACTCGTAACAGATTCAGGATCGGCCTCCACGAAAAAAAAACACTGAGGAGGAGAGGAAGAAGTAGGCGGAGGACCACAACACACATAACACATATATCGGTATACATACATATAATATATACACAGGCACATCGAGCTTTTCGGCGGACCCAGACCCACTAATACGCCCATTCTTCTGTCTGTCTCTCTTTCTTCTCTGTCTTCTCTCCCTGTCTTTCTTTTTCTTTTTTCTAACAGGGGGTTGTATCTTCGCCCGTGGCAGCTACCCTGCGAAACCCTGCCTTCCCCGGTATTTCGGGGCACCCTCATCCAGTCACCCTAGCCAACTTCTCAGTGGATCGCTCAGGTTCCGCACCCACCACCAGCATCCAACGGAATCTGCCGGGTCGACAGCGGCCCAACTCCATTCCTGGTCGGCTCGCAGGTTAACTTTATCCCAGGTCACCACCGTCCATCAACTAGGGGCGCAATACCGTCCACCATCGGAAGGACTTCTGTCTATCTGTCAGGTTGCCCTCTCCCGTCCCCCCCCCCGCTCCCCCCCCCACCTGCCGAACTCAGTGGCCGCACGCTCCTCCGCACCGATGCTACCCCCGGACAGGGCCGCCTCTGCAGCCAGGGGGGGGGAGTGGGCACTGGCCAGGTCAACAGGGAACAGGGGGGGGTCCAGGAATGAAATATTTACAAACGTTTACATACAAACATACACACAAACATATATAAACCGGTAGTAATACCAGCCTTGCCAACATCGTCCAAGCAGTCAGTCATCTTGGCCCGGTGCATAGCCCCCGGGTCGCCAGGGGGGCCGGGGGGGGGGCGGGGGGACGACGACAACCACAGACGGACAGACAGACAGACAGACAGACGTACGAGTGATATCTGCTGATACCGGGGATAGGCGGATGGATGCACTCCGCATGATTAGACGGATACTGCATACATATGTGTTAGGAGTATGTAGGAATATTTGTTACCAACCAGCCAGACCAGTAGCGACCGGGGAAGAAGTAGTCAGTCATGGCGGCGATGTGACCAGCTAGATTGATTGATAGATTGGTTGATTGATTGATTGATAGATAGATAGATAGATAGATAGATAGATAGATAGATAGATAGATAGATAGATAGATAGATAGATAGATAGATAGATAGATTGGTGGCGAATGAGTGTTAGCTCTATTAGCTGTAGCTATCCGGCTGCCGAGTCCAAAGACGTCCCTCTCCTGCCCCCCTCCACTCCCCCCCACCCCCTCTTAACGACCTGCCACGGCCTCCAGCTGCTCCACCGGAAACCGGCGGTAGGGGTGAGTCGAGCTGATGTGGGCCTTGCGCTGCTGCTCCACCTGGTGCAGCTGGGCCTTACACTCCTGCGTGTAGAGGGGGAGGGAGGGGGGAGTGCGGGCGAGGGGAGGCGGGAAATCATGGACGCAAATTAAACATGCCAACCGCCACAAACGTTCAAACGGCGGTGGCTGGGGATATCTGGGTTTGGGGGTTTCGGGACCCGGACGAGGAGGGCGGGGGGTGAGGGTGGGGTGAGGTGGGGGGTGAGGTGGGGGGTGAGG